GCTGCCGTTCTCGAAAGCCGAAGCCATTCTGGATTGCAGGGGAGATCGGCAGATTCCATCGGCTGATCTCCACTCTGATCACTAAATGCAGAAGTGATGAGAATTGCATCACTTCCGCTTTCAGCCTGTTATTTCTACGGCTGCAATAGCCAGAGAAGAAGCTGGTGAAGCAGATCTCTGCTTCATCAGCTTCTTTTGGGGGGGTCCCTAGGTGACATTAGGGGGTCTAATAGCCCCCGGATTACATAAAGAGGACCTGTCACATCCTCTTTGCTAGAGTAATACATTTAAGTGAAATAAAAACAAGTTTACCAATTTTAAGTCACATATTTTAAAAAAATAAAACATTTTTAAAGTCCCCCGCCCCCACATACATGTACATTCAAATGCAAACACGCGTCAGGTGCGCCTACAATGTGAAAACGGCGATTACGGCGCCACATGTTACATATCACCACGAGCGTCGGAGTGAGAGCAATAATTCTAGGGCCATCGATCACTGTTAACACTAAATTGATGAGTGGTAAAAGCTTTTAAAGTGTCACCTGTGGACAGTTTTGGGCATTGGTAGTTTTTTGCAATTTTGCATGCGCACGCAATTTTAAGGCTTGACATGTTTGGTATTGATTTACCCGAGGTGACCCTTTCTTTACCAAACAAATTGGGTAATAAATGTTTCATAACAAAGTTTTTTCTAAATGTTTGGCACTTTTTTTCTTGATATAGTAAAAAAATTTAAAATCCAGTACTGATTAAATACCACCAAAAGAAAGCTCTATCTGTCCCAAAAAAATGATATAGTCAAAGTACCTCAGCACTGAAAAATGGCCTGGACAGGAAGGGGGTTTAACACCCCGGTCTTCAAGTGGTTAAAGTGCATGTCCAGGTTTTACCCAAATTTAACTCAAACCCCAACTGCAGGGGTGTCCAAACTCCGGCCCTCCAGCTGTGGTGGAACTACAAATCCCATGAGGCATTGCAGGATTCTCACAGCTACAGACATGACTCCCGGAGAGAGATGCATGGGATTTGTAGTTTTGCCACAGCTGGAGGGCCGGAGTTTGGACAACCCTGTCTAAAGGTGGCCATACACTCTACAACCATCGCAAGACTTTAGTCTTGCGATGGTTGTAAAGGGATTAAAAAAACGTACGATCTGCCTATCTTGGACAGGCAGATCGCACTCTCGATCATCGCAAGCCCACCCCCCTGAGGGGCGGGCTTCCGATGACCGCAATGCTGAACGGGCAGTGTGCGCGTGCGCACACCGGCCCGTTCAGCATTTATCTTCCGAGCACCGTTCTAACCAGCCGAGAATCGTACGATTCCCGGCTGGTTTTCGAACATGCTGGTTCGACAGAAGACGTGCGACCGTACAGTAGAAACGGTCGCACGTCTCCGTTCACACTGCTCGATTATCGTACGAAAAACCGATCGCATACGATTATCGTACGATAATCGTGCAGTGTATGGGCATCTTTACTGTGTCCCTCTTGGGTATATTCCAGCATTATTTTATATTATTTTCTTGTCTCTGTAACTAAAAACTGCTTTTATTACTCCCTGTGATATCATCACCAGGCTTGTAAAAGTATAGTAGTGGCAGCTGACAGAAGGTCAGCTTCTATTGCTGTAGGCAAAACCCTGGAACTACATCACCCAAGGGTCCTTCACCTACACACAGTGTGTGAACAGGCCCAGCGGTTTTAAAGCAGCAATAATGTGATAATATAGATGTTGGATAAAAGATTTCATGTAGTATAACACTTCTGATAGTTAAAGCCCAACTCCAGGCTTGGAATTCCCCCTTCATTCCCCTCCCCATTGTAGCACCACCATGTATAAAATGTTATTTTAAACGTTTTTGGGTTCTCTTCGTCCTCTGAGAAAAGGTAGAACCTGAATGGCGCAGAGAATGGCCCCACGCAATAAATGAAGCAATTTTTTGTAGCATTTCTTTTATGAATCCAGGGCAGGGGATGGGGCTCACAGGATGTGGGTTAATGCGCGCCGGCACAATACTGAGCCTTTAACTCCCCCAGGCCCAAATCATGGCTTTTAAGGAGGAAATCCTTCTAGTGCATCAATTCAGGTGAACCGCTGCAAGGGGGACAGTGATAAATGTTAGGGACACCCAGGAACAGTTCTTACAAGTTTAGCCCTGCACTTTTTTTTCCAGCAGGGCAGCAAAAAAAAAAAACACCATTCAATGCAGGAGGGATTTGCACAACTAACAAGACATTTGCTAGTCTCAACCACCAACTAAACAACAGGGTGCCCCTTAATGAGTTACCCAAACAAATGGGCAACACTTGTTCCTTTTTAGCATTTACCCAACAGCGGGCTTTCACAGCAGAGAGAGTGAAAGGGACACCCCAGCATCAGTCAGCTGACACACAAAAGGCCCGTGGACAGCTAAAAATGGCAATGATGATTGTTTACCAGGTACGATGTGGACCGAGGAATGGAGACTTTATCCCACCCAAAGCTCTACAAAGCCTTGGGTTTCAGGACCCAGAACAGAACTTATGTTCAAAATGTGTAGTTGAGAAACCTAGGAGACACATATACACCTTACACAATCGTGCCAGTTAGTGCCTCACATCCCCTAATCCCTATTTTAGAAAAAAAAACTCAAATTCTAAAAAAAAAAAAAAAAACAGCTGCTTAATTACATGTGTTTAAACAAATGAGTGAATTGAAATTAAGATGCCAGGAAATGAGAAGAAATATGGAGTAGCTGCATTTACTTGTAAGCCCTCAGGGACAGTGCCCTCCTTACCATCTTGTCTTGAATTGTATTGTGATTGTAATGTCTGCCCTATATTGTAAAGCGCTGCGCAAAATGTTGGCGCTATATAAATCCTTTATAATAATAATAATAATTTACTGTGATGTCAGCATTTACTTCTGAACCCATCAATAAATCCCTACATGTAAACACATTTATAAAGAATTAATTTGTTATTCTCTGTATACAAACTGAGAAATTGTATGTGCAATCCTCCCTGCACGCGGCTGAGCCCAGTGACTGCCCAAGTACTCTTAAAGTGAACCTCTGCTTTGCCTATGCAGACCCCAAAAAAAAACAGGTTTACTTTGTCGTTGTTCCCTCTCGATTTTTATCACCTCCCTTCACTCCCGCACCACTCTGTTCACTCTGACTTAAAAAGTGTAAGAGCCCTCTGTAGGCTTCATTTGGGTCTGATTGGAGCTTACACAGGGTTTGGACTCTCTACCCAGCCTCATGCGACAGTGCTTGAGTGTGGAAATCAAAGCCCTGCCTTTTAGCACGCTCTCATAAAAAAAGGCCCCACTGATGTAGAGCCATCAAACCAATGAAAAGAATCATTTTGATTCATTGCTGGCTATCGCTTTTTATCCTACCTGACAAGTCCATAACTTAATGAGTCTACATGATTCCACCCAAAGCTGTTATGGATGGTCACTGGTAGAGTAATTCTTATCTCTTGAAGATCTTCCTGCCAGCATTCTCAACTTGAAGATCTTCCTGCCAACATTCAATGCATTCTAAGTTTTCACTAAAATCTCTTTAAAAACCTCTTGTTATAGGGGTGACAAAGCTCCGTCTTCCACTTGTGCTCCTGTGTTGTCACTCTGTCACACAGACTTCAGATGGAGACTACAAGTGGCTCAAAATACATTCAGTTATGTCACATGAGTGTCTTGACAGCTCCCTTGTATCTGTGTGTGGCTGAATGCCTCCAGAATAAAACACTTCTATCTTTTTCAACTCATAAATTAATATAATCCTTTTCTTTTAGCAAGAATAAATGATGTCAACATAAAATAAGATAAATAAGAGAGCATCTTTTATTTTATTGTTTTCACTCACTTTACTATACCCCCTCCAAATGTTCATTCTTATTTATTCATCTTCTGTATGTTTTTTAAGATACACTACTTACTGAATTCCAGTCTTTAATGAAGGAAACTTGTATTTAAAAGGCCAGTCCATCCAAAACTAATAATTAATATATCACTACTAGGTGGACTCACCCTTTAAGTAACCAAGGATGTAAATATGAAAGGGAACCCACAGCAAATTAAAGTTGTCCATACACATTGTAATCTGAGGATCTACCTAGACTATCCAATCAATTTATTTTTATTCAGACAGGCCCTTGCACCACATAGCTGTTGTTGGATCTAAACGGGATTGCACAGATTGTAATTTGTGTTTGGTGAGCTTTGTAGGGATCCCGGATAATCCAACCTCCAATTTAATTCTCTATTTTATAAAGGTAGGCAGCAATTGTCTAACAAAGATTTCTGAACTGTGTATTCATTTTATCCGTAATTATGTTACAAATCCTCTTGCTGGATCTAGAAAAGCCAATATGTATCTAAATAGTACCGTACCCCACAGCAGCGACATGGTCTGCTACCACTAGACTTACAATCTCTGTTCTAGAGACACAATGGAAGTAGAATATATGGATCCCACAGTTGGCAGGGTATGTAATTGTTTGAGATAGATTGGCTTAGCCCTGGAAATTCAGGTTGACAGCTGGGCTAGCGTGTCTTGCAGAGTTTGTAAACTTCAGCTTTAGATGAGTTCCCAAACCCAGTGTCCTCAATATGTGATGTTTAATATATTCTAGATAAGGTGTGCATGGGGGATATACTATTTGTGCAGAATGAGCAGTGGCACAAGTCCCCTATGGGACATAGGACCCATTTATTTGAGATGTGGGTTGGGCAGTTGCTGGGTCCCCCTTCCACTGTTGTGGTGACGTTTTTCATGATGCCCTAACCATGTTACTGGTTTGTATGTAATATCCAAGTAGTGTCAGGCAGCCACCACATGCTGTCTGTCTATCTATCTATCTATCCATCCCTCTATACACAGTAAACAAGTGTTTTTTTACTTGGTAACAGTTGAATGGGGGGGGCCCAAAAACTGTTTTGGCACGGGGATCATCAGGTGACTGTCTACCAATAAAGGTGTTCAAGCCTTAGTTTCTAGGCACGCTTACCTGTAGCCATGATGGCTGTATGTTGTCAGTCCAGTTACTCAGTCTTGGCACCCCAGAGGGCGAGACAGGTTGTCTTGTCCCTTTTACCCTCTGCTGGTCATCAATCAAAATCTACAGTCCAGTAGCAATGTCACTTGTCGCCCTCCATCCTCTCCTGTAAACTTGTGTTGTCTTCACCTTGGTAGTACTCTCCTTGTGTCTTCTCCTCCTCACACCTTACTTATCCTGACTCCTACCTCCCTCCCTCCTGCTCTGTCTCTCTCCCTCCCTCTGGTCTCAGTTTCCTGGCTCTCAGCTGCCTAATTAATAATTGACAAAACTGTTTGCGGAAGGCTGTGCAAATAGGAGCTGAGCTCCTGGTGCTGATTTCACAGGGAAGGCTGGCAGTACCATTTTGCTCAATGCCATGATGGTACAGAGTGCACAGAAGTGAGATAGCAGTGAACTATGGGGTGTAGTCACCCTCTCCCCATATGTGCGTAGGGGCTGTATTTATCGCTAATCAATGCAGATTATATGGCTTTCAGTGTAAAAAATGTTTTATTGTTTACTGGAAAACAAAATAACTTTTTTTTTTTTTATAGAATGAGGGAAGATAAATGGTGTCTGCTAAGCCACAGTGACCATTTACAGATCAATTTTCATTACTATTCTGTAAGCTTAATTTCATTTGGCTGCTGTATGAATAACGGAAAGTACTACATTGCAGTATGTTATTTAAAGGGGTACTCTACTCTGGCTGTTCCATGGAAAACCTCTTTATTGTGCCTGCAGTTGTGGTTATTGGGTGGTAGCACAGCTGTCCAACCATTGAAAACTTTGGCAGCTTTTACCCCAAACAGCCTGTTGCCATTACTCTCCTTAAAGAGGGACTTTACCCATATCTTCGAAATGACAACAAAGGCACCTTTTAGAAATGTTTAGTAATGAAAATCTACAAACAGATACTTATAGATAATTGCAGACTTTTTTCTTTGTATACCCTATTTTTCTTTTCCTCTTCATTCTTCTGACAGTAGACATTTTTAGTAAGGGCAGATCAATCTATCTCCCTTTACTTCCTGGAACTCTGGCACATCTGACTAAGACATGTGACCATGCACATCATCTCAGGGGACGAAAATTTCCAAGATTACCCAGCAATGCTCTGCTGATGTAACCTTCCCAGGAAGCAATGCTTGGGCACAATTACATAATTTGTGCCAAAGTGGACCAGGAAGTAGAAAAAAATAAATTGTTAGTAAAATAAAAATATGTTTGTTTAAATGAGAACTATGAGGTGAGTGATTTCCACTCGTCCTCATAGTTAGAGCCGACCTGTGACAAATAAGCTATCATAGGTTGGCTCTATCGATCGGGAAGTGAGCAGAAACATGCAGCCGATCCGCTGACTTACCAATTGTCTCTCTGCAGTGATTCCCCCCTCCCATTTCCGACCCTCCAGTGATGAGTGGAGGACCGAACAGGGGAGGGGACGGGCACAGCTGGCTCTGCCTCTAGATAGGCAAAGCCAGCTGTCACTCACACAGCTGGGTGGATCTCCACAATATTGTCCGTCCTGGCTGTGGCGCTCTCAGTATATTGCGGGCCCGCGATATACTGAGCTTTGGGTCATGGGAGGAGGTTAGTATATGTCCTGCCGTGACCCTAAAGAGAACTATGGGATAAAGAGGTTACCCCATAGTTCTCTTTTAACTAATGAATGTAAGATTATTTCATATCAGCATGCAGAGCTGCTGATTGTGTGGTGGACTGGGCATGTGGCAAACATATGCATTCTTAAAATCATCAATGCTTTGGAAATATATGAAGATGTAATCGTTCACTAATATGAATGTATACTTGGCCAAAAATATTAAGCTTTGGCTACATTTGCTGATCATATCCTATAGACTGGAAATTGGCAAGTTAGATTAATGGATGAACATTATTAATAACCTGCCGAATACCTTTCCAACATTTTATAATAATGATCACTAATCTGTAATAAGAATTAAACACTGCTTGAACATTTCCCTGGAGATTATGTGATGTACTATTCCATGAACAATACTTGCAATGTGGAAGACGTAGCTGAATATTCTAGTTGAACCCTCAGGAATTCAATCGCATGTCTTGGAGCTAAATGTAGGTGCACCAGTAATGATTTTTAAAGTGACACTAAACTCAGGAGTTCACTTTTAAAAATACATTCAAGGACCTTAACTATTAACAAAAATGTATCTTATTTGTGTATCACTCGGCTCTAGATCCTCAAATCATCTCTGAATTGGTGCTGACACTGTCCTTCCTTCTGGAGGGGGGCTACTTTTGTTCCCCATGGTCCCTGTGTGTGTTGTAAAGTAGCCACCACTCCAAGCTCACTCCTGTGATGGACTACAATCTCATGTTTAGTTTACTAATTTGTACTGAGATTGTAGTCCATCACAGGAGCGAGCTTGGAGCGGTGACTACTTTACAACACACACAGGGACCATGGGGAACAAAAGTAGTCACCCTCCAGAAGAAAGGACAGCGTTCAGAATTCAGAGATGATTTGAGGATCTACAGGTGAGTGATACACAAATAAGATACATTTATGTTAATAGATAAGGGACTTGAATGCATTTTGAAGAAAAAACTCTGAGTTTAGTGTCACTTTAAGGAATTCAAACCTACTACAATGGAACAAAGCTTCAGATCACTACCTCACACACAACCATTGTGCCTACAGTCATAATTTGTGGTGAATATCATGGAGACACTATACTAATTCCAAGGGGGTCCCTGTTTTGGGCCTTCTGATTAAATGTGATATGTGAAGGATTTATTGTGTTACACATGTCCCCATTCATATAGCAAGACCTAAAAATATTTCACATTTGCTGCTTACTTTTTTAAACTCCAGGACTTAAAAATTACACTTAGCCTTCCTTTCTGTGTAATATTTATGATGAGCAAAGAAATTTGTGTTTGCCATAATTCCCTGTCTTCATGATGTGCTTTCAGATTTTGTTATTAGTCGTTAACTAGATGTGCAGAATAGATGAATGGTGCCGGCGATCGCACCGCGGGCAGGGGGCGTTGCTGCGGTGCCCTTGAGTTCAATGGACCACCAAGCCCTCTCCCACCCCAAAACAAAGTGAGCCGGCCGGGTTGCGTTCCTGAGGCTGAACACACGAACGCACTCTTGGTGGGACAGGGCCCTTAAAAGTCAGAAATGCGAACCCCTCCGCAGTTCAAAACTAAAGAGAAAAAACGAGTCTGGAATTGGGGTTGAGTTAAAAAGTGCAGATTTGTATCCATACAATGATACTCTGTAGCATTCCTTCTCAACCAGAGTGCCTTCTGACTGTCAGGGGTGCCTTCAAATTTTCACACAGTGTCATGCATTTCTATGGTGCAGGCGGGCTGGCATGGAAATGGTTGAAGCTAATCCTGGGTAAGCGGCATCCAGGACCTTCTTCCACATCCAGAAGAAAACAGAAGTTCGCCTCCATCCCAACCTGCTCCACCTCCCGCCCTCTACCATGCTGCCGCAGTCACACTCTGGTGAAGATTATAAGGTGGGACTCTGAGGTGAAGGGGGAGTCTGATGTAAAAAGGGACTCCTGGTGGGGAAGGGTGGACTCTGATATAAAAGGTAGGAATGCCATGTTGGTTTTATTATTTGTTTTTTTTTATTTGCATGAAGTCCCGCCTTAAGATCCATACAAGATCCCTATCTAGGGTAAGGGTCTGGTAAAGATTTTGTGTGGGGAACTAGACATCATTTTTTCCTTTCTTCCATTTACATTTTGGACTGGGGTGCTTTGATATTTCACATACCTTTTACTGGGTGCCATGACTGAAAAAAAGTTTGAGAAACACTGCCCTATATGAACCTTGAGGATTCAGCTTTTTCTTTACTATACACTGCCTTAACCCCCTCCTTTAACACTCTCTGTTGACATTATACTGTACAGTTGTTTGCAGCCCAAATATCACGGCTTATTTAATAGCTTTGGCTGCCCTAGGAGAGCTGTCCTGTGACCCCTCTGCTGTCACTCAGCTTCTGAGCACTAGGATGATGTATATCACTGCAGAGACATTTCAATACAGTTCAAAAAGGTGCATTTGCCGCAACACATGGGGCCTACCAAAAGATGTAGAAGCCAAGAGAAACCTTTTTGTTGTTGGTGTTGAAAGAAAGAAGCGGTAGCATGTGAATATTTGGTTAAAGTAAATGTGATGAGGAGAGGGGGAGGTGTTCTGTAGTCTCTCAACACTTCTCCTAGGGTGACAATGCTGCTCTTCTTTTGATACAGTACAGTGTGAGAGCTACTGGCCCCCCACAGAAAATACTCTCGACTGCGATATATACATATGAATGGGTGGCGCTATTTACATATGAATAAGCCGTGACTCATTCTCCCCCCAAAAAATGTCAGCGCGTTGCTAGAGTGTTCGGGTTTCACTTGAAGAAAAGGTGGCAAACCTACCTAGAACAGGAAGTGTGTTGCTTTCAGGATCACCAGGTGATAATAAAATAAACAAAAACAAACTAGATCACCACATGTAGAGTTTGGTAAGCTGCAACATACAGGTGAAACTCGAATAATTAGAATATCGTGCAAAGTTCATTTATTTCACTAATGCAACTTAGAAGGTGAACCTAATATATGAGATAGACTCATTACATGCAAAGCAAGATAATTCAAGCCGTGATTTGTCATAATTGTGATGATTATGGCTTACAGCTCATGAAAACCCCAAGAATCCCAAGTCCACAACCTCAAAAAAGTAGATTATTACATGCAATCAATAAAACAAGGATTGTACATAGAACAATATCGGACCTCTGAAAAGTACAAGCATGCATATGTACTCAGTACTTGGTTTGGGCCCCTTTTGCAGCACTTACTGCAATTACTTTTGCACGATATTCTAATTATTCGAGTTTCACCTGTATATTACATTTTTGTTTCTAGTTTTAGATACACTTTGTGCACTTAAAAAAGAACTCTGGGCAAACAAAAAACGTACCCTTGTCGTGGGGCTACCCCAGCACTGCAAGAGTTAACTGCTCGTTTTGGTCTAGGGGCTGAACTAAAGAAGAATTACTTACTTGTTCCTCAGGCACACCTGACTGCTAGACCAGTCCACGCAGCCTCTTCTCCCCTGGGCTCAGGTGGTCTAAGGGCCCATTCACACCACATCCAGATTACCTCCAGACCAGACTGTTTCCAGACCCAAAATGCATCCCTATGCAAAATATGAA